TACTCTCATACCCCATAGTAAGCAATCTTGTTCTGCTGACAACTCATTAGGACGATGGAAGAATGGTAAAAGACTTTCAGGCACACTAGATTGGTCAGGCCGGCCATTTCGTACAAACTGTAAAACTGGTGCTAGGAGTTTATCCTTCTGTGTAGCATGTGCAATGCCCCTGCAAGTAACAGGAAGATCATTAATAGCATAGTTAAAATGATAAAGTTCACKTCCYTGACATGCTGMCACATGGTCAACTGGCAGTCTGGAAAGTGCATCAGCATTGGCAAGAGCGTCGGTGGATCGATACTTGATCTGGTACTGATAAGAGGATAAGATCAGGGCCCATCGTTGGAGTCTAGCAGCGGCCAATGTGGGTACAGCAGACTTTGGTCCCAGTATGGCAAGTAATGGTTTGTGGTCAGTTTCTAGTAAATAGTTTCTTCCATAAAGATACTGGTGRAATTTCTTGACACCATAGATAATGGATAGAGCCTCTTTCTCAACTTGACCATAGTTCCTTTCGCTGGATGACAATGTCCGGGATGCAAAAGCAATTGGTCGCTCTTCTCTATTTTTCATAATGTGGGAGATCACGGCACCGATACCATATGATGAAGCATCACAGGCCAAGACCAAGGTCAAATTAACATCATAATGGGTCAGGAGCTTGGCTGAGAGTAGCTGCTGTTTGGCAYTTTCAAATGCTGTTTGGCAATCAGAACCCCAGGACCAACTCACCCCTTCCCGCAGAAGGTTGTTTAATGGCTGAAGCAAGGTGGATAGATTGGCGAGGAATTTTCCATAGTATTGAAGCATGCCGAGAAAGGATCTCAGCTCTGTGACACAGGTAGGAACAGGGGCTCCCATAATTCCTCGAACTTTCTCGGGATCAGGATGTACCCCTTCTTTATCAATTAGATAACCCAAGAACTGGACTTGGTCTTGCATGAAGGAGCACTTCTCAGCCTTTAGCTGCACACCATACCTGGACAATCGTTGTAACACCGTTTCAAGAACTTTCAAGTGTTCTTCTTGTGTAGGTGCTGTTATTAAGATATCATCAATGTAACACACCACTCCAGGGATTCCTTGGAGTATCTGATCCATAGTGGACTGGAAGATGGCTGGTGCACTTGCAACACCGAATGGTAAGCGGTGGTATTGGAATAATCCCTTATGTGTGTTGATGGTAAGAAACTTCTTTGATKCTGACTGCAGTCTAAGCTGTTGATAAGCATGTTTTAAGTCCAGCTTAGTAAACTGTTCTCCGCCTGCTAGTGCACTAAGTAGATCTTGAGGAGTAGGTAAGGGGTATTGGTCTACATCCATGTCCTGGTTGATGGTGACCTTATAGTCCCCACAAATACGAATGGACCCATCTGGCTTGGGTACGACTACAATGGGTGCAGCCCACTCACAGTGATCTACCTTTGAGATGATGCCTTCGTTCTCCAGACGTTCAAGCTCGGCCTCAACAGCCCCTTTCAATTCATAGGGGACTGGCCGGGGCTTATAAAACTTTGGGTTTGCATCTGTTTTAAYCTTGATTCTTGCTTCAAATTCGTCAATCCTTCCTTGTTTGTTGGAAAACACAGAGTTATACTTAGTGATTAGTTCCTCTATCAATGTGGATACTTTGAACAGCTCCCTCCAATTGAGGCGAATTACACTGAGCCAGTTTCGGCCTAACACTGGGGGTTGGCCAACGATCTCAGCCACTACAAGGGGAAGAGTTGCTTTCTGACCTTCAAACTCTACATCAACAAGCATTTCTCCCATGGTAGGTAACACTGCTCCAGAATATGTTTTCAGCTGTGTTGCACAGGGAGACAGACTAACGTGGTTGAACTGTTGCAAATAGACTGATTTGGGAATAACAGTTACAGCAGCTCCGGAATCCACTTCCATATTCAACTTTTTTCCTGCAACTTCTACTGACACTGATACAGCATCTGAAATACTGCCACGAACTGCAAACATACCCAATGGGTCATCGTCACCCTCAGTAGCATCAAGGTGATGAGTTCCTTGGGATTCCTGTTMACTATTAGSGGTCTTGCTTCTGCAAACTTTAGACAGGTGGCCTACTTTASCACATGCATTGCATTTATACTTCTTAAATTTACATACATTGGCCAGATGATCTTCTGAATCACAACGAAAACAGAACTTATCTAGCTCTTTGGATGCTTTTGTGTTACTTCGAGTARATTTGTTATCAATTTGATGGATAGAGGCCGATACCGATAATCCGGGTGGTCCCGTGTCCCTCAATTCCCCTGATTGTCGTTCTTCCATTTCCATTGATTGAGCAATTTGCAAAGCTTGGTTAAAATCCAGAGCTCGTTCACCGAGAAGTTCCCTTTAGATCTGTTCCTGTCTTAGCCCTGCCACAAATCGATCTCGTAAAGCTTCATCAAAGAAATCGCCAAACTCGCAGTTGATGGTTAATTTCTTTAGTTGGGCCGCGAAATCCGCCACACTTTCGTCATCTTTTCGAAAGCGGTTGTGGAAATTAAATCGCTCTGCGATCACTGAAGGCTTTGGGTTTAAATGATTTCTCAGCCTTTCAA